CTCTTGGGCTTAGGCAATTCTCTTGCCTCAGCCACCTGAGTAGCTGAGACTACAGGTGCCTGCCACAAGGCCTGGCTAATTTTTTGTTGCAGTTTGGCCAGGGCAGGGTTAGAACTCACCACCCGCAGTATAGGGGGCCAGCGCCCTACTCACTGAGCCACAGGCACTGCCCAGAATACATGTACATTATTATCAAGCTTACTGAGGTAGGTGGAATAAGGGCAACAAAAACATATTCATGTCCTAACCCACAGAACATGGGAATGTTACTTTATGTGGCAAAAGGGTCTTGTTAGATATGATTAAGTCAAAAATGTTAACAGAAGGAGACTAAACGGAATTAATCTCTCAATCATCTACTGCCTCAGCCTCCCAAGTAGCTGGGACCACAGGCGCCTGCCACAATGCCCAGCTATTTTTTGGCTGCAGCCATCATTGTTGTTTGGCGGGCCCAGGCTGGATTAGAACCCGCCACCTTAGGTGTATGTGGCTGGTGCCTTAGCCGCTTGAGCCACAGGCTCCGAGCAGTAAAAAATATAATTTTGCCTTTAATATCTCTTATACATTTTAGAGAGGATGCAGGTTCAACTACAAGAAAATAGATTTATATTGAGTAATGTAGAAGACATCTTACCTGATCTGTTGTAGTGATATGGGCATTTTAATTTGCTGATAATAATCAGGGTATTTTTTCTTTGAAGGCAAATGGAAAAAAGGTTCAGCTATTAGCTGCCCTTGGTTATTCCGACAGCTCCTAACTGTGTCATAAAGCTGATAAAAAGGATTTGAAACATCCATAAAGGAAGTAATGCTCTCTGCTTCTGACTCTCCCTCTTCATAACGTGCAGCTGAGAAGAAAAAACAAAGGTGGTATATATGGATAAGAAAGAAAGAACCATACTTAAAAGTTCTTTTAACAACCAGATTGAGCTATGTATGTCTGAGAAAAGTTATGTTAAAATAGCCTCTAACCTTCATTAAAAATCATGTTCAAAATGTGTAATATAGTTGTACATTTAGAGAAATATTACACAGAAATAGAATGTGAAATAGTAAAAGTTATGCTGGTTTATTTATTTATTTACTTTTTAGAGACAGAGTCTCACTTTGTCATCCTTGGTAGAGTTCCTTGTCACAGCTCACAGCAACTTCCCACTCTTGGGCTTAGGCAATTCTCTTGCCTCAGCCTCCTGAGTAGCTGGGACTACAGGCACCCGCCAAAACTCTTGGCTGTTTTTGTTGTTGTTGTTGCACTTTGGCTGGAGCCGGGTTCAAACTCGCTACCCTCAGTATATGGGGCTGGTCCCCTACCCACTGAGCCACAGGCACTGCCCAGTTACACTGGTTTAAAAGGCTGCAAAATAGTTTCACTTTTTAAATGTGTTTTCAGAGACTCCTTGCTATGCTTGGCCAAAAGGAGCAAATAGCCATTCAGAGATTTCAGAACTAAAGTAACATCATGAATAAATTCAGATTGGGCTGAAACTGCCACACAAGACTTAGCTGTGTGTCTTTTGTGACTTTACCTCACTGATCTATAACATCCCAGAGGAATGATATATTCTCTTACTGAAAGAATTTTTAGGTAGAAGGTAATCATAAAAACAAACTGATGAGGCTCAGCGCCTGTAGTTCAGTGGGTAGGGCACTGCACCTGGCCTGGGCCTGCTAAACAACAACAAAAACTGCAAAAAAAAAAAAAAAAAAAAAGCCAGGCATTGTATCAGGCGCCTGTAGTCCCAAGGGCAACAAGGGAAGACGGTCTCAAAAAAATAAAAAAAAAAAACCCACAAAGAAAACAAACTGATGGAAGTATATAAAGTGAGAGCTAGAGTAAGGGCCTTAAGACTTTGTGAACTTAGCTAACATAATAATAATCAGCTACTGTACCCTTGGTTTGCTTCTTTACCCTAGAGTCAGGCATGGTTGTTGGTTATAAAGACTGTTAATTTTTTCCATACAGAACATCACCTGTTTGGAACCTAGGGGTAGTTTTTGAGATTATCTTCCAGGTCTTGTATTCCAGTAACAGACCCCACCCTCACCCCAGCAAGACCAAGAAACTGACTCAACTGGTCTTGGATGCCCCTTATCCAAGGAACTGCATTCTAGTGGATGGGCTGACCCACCTCTGGCCCATACCAAAGGACTGATGGTTCCACTCTGAAACCAACCAATTAGCAGACACTGATTGCCTAAACCTATGCCCACCAAGCTGTCTTTAAATGGTTCCTCTTTTTTTTTTTTAGAGATAGAGTCTCATTTTGTCACCCTCAGTAGAGTGCCATGGTATCACAGATCACAGCAACATCCAGCTCTTGGGCTTAGGCAATTCTCTTGCCTCAGCCACCTGAGTAGCTGAGACTACAGGTGCCTGCCACAAGGCCTGGCTAATTTTTTGTTGCAGTTTGGCCAGGGCAGGGTTAGAACTCACCACCCGCAGTATAGGGGGCCAGCGCCCTACTCACTGAGCCACAGGCACTGCCCAGAATACATGTACATTATTATCAAGCTTACTGAGGTAGGTGGAATAAGGGCAACAAAAACATATTCATGTCCTAACCCACAGAACATGGGAATGTTACTTTATGTGGCAAAAGGGTCTTGTTAGATATGATTAAGTCAAAAATGTTAACAGAAGGAGACTAAACGGAATTAATCTCTCAATCATGAGAGGTAAATGTAATCATAAACGTCCTTTTAAGAGGGAGGCAAGAGTTCAAAGGAAGACCAGCTAACAGATTCAGAGGCTGGAGTGCTGTGTTTTGAAGATGGAGCGGCCTGAGCCAAGGAATAATGGTTACTTCTAGAAGCTAGAAAAGTGAAGGAAACTAATTTTCCCTATGAACATGAAGAAGGAATGTTAGCCTGCTGACACTTGGATTTTAGACTTCTGACCTGAACTGTAAGAGAATACCACTAAATTTGTGGTAATTTGCATGAACAGCAATAGGAAACATACTGAGGAAGAAGTGCGTTCAAATCTTGAACTTCACTGGTATTTTATCTGCCTATCTACAAGTGAGAAGGGGTCTCCTACTCAAAGGATAGTGCTTTCAATTTCTCAGTAAGTTCCACCTGCTTGTTTTACATGTGTATATTTTTTTCTTTTTTTTTTTTTTGAGACAGCCTCAAGCTGTCGCCCTAGGTAGAGTGCTATGGCATCACAGCTCATAGCAACCTCCAACACCTGGGCTTAAGCGGTTCTCTTGCCTCAGTCTCCCAAGTAGCTAGGACTACAGGTGCCCACCACAACGCCCGACTATTTTTTGGTTGCAGCCATCATTGTTGTTTGGTGGGCCCGGGCTGGATTTGAACCCACCAGCTCTGGTGTATGTGGCTGGTGCTTAGCCGCTTGTTAGCCGCTACAGAAGCCAAGCCTTTTGTACCTATTTTAACCTCTTTTAGAATTTATCTTCCTGATGAAATAAACCTATTTACCATTATGAGGCCAATCTTTGTAATGGTCTCTATTGGAAATTAGTATAGCTACTCTTCAGTTATTTGCTTGGTATATCTTTTTCCACCCTTTTACATTCAACTTTCCTATGTTTTTATATTTAAGATGTGTCTCTTATAACCTGTATATAACCTAATTTTTAAAAAACTGTCTTAATTGGCAAATTTAGGCCATTAACACTGATGTAATTCCTAACAGAATTTTTTGACTTGTTTCTCTCATCTTTATGTTTTCTACATATCCCGCCTTAAGTGGTTTTTTTTGTGTTATGTGTATTTTTTTATTTTTTTAAGAGATAGTCTCACTCTGTCGCCCTTGGTAGAGTGCCATGGTGTCACAGCTCACAGCAACCTCAAACTCTTGGGCTTAAGTGATTCTCTTGCCTTAGCCTGTCATGTAGCTGGGACTACAGGCGCCTACCACAACGCCCAGCTATTTTTTTGTTGCAGTTGTGATTGCTGTTTAGCTGGCCCGGGCCAGGTTAAAACCTGTCAGCCTCTGTGTATGTGGCTGGTGCCATAATCACTGTGCGACAGGCGCTGTGCCTTTTCTTTTTTTCCTTCTTATCTTATTTTTGTTGGTAGAGGAAGGATTGAAGGTTTTATCTGTTTTTCTTATTCTATCCCCATTCTAGTTTTTCTTATTCTATCCCCATTCTAGTTTTGTTCTTTTTTTTTT